GATCGCAAGCCGCGCCCCCCTGAGGGGCGGGCTTCCAATGACCGCAATGCCGAACGTGCAGTGTGCGCTTCTTACGAACATGCTACACACCCGCCGAACATCGTACGATGGTCGGCGGGTTTTCGAACATGTCCTTAAGTTAAAAGTCGTGCGACCGTACAGTAGTGGAGGTCGCACGGCTTCCACACACCTTACGATAATCGTACGATCGCGGGGTTTCCATCGATTATCGTAAGGTGTGTGGGCACCCTTAGAGTGACTTATAAACTAAACTGTATGGCTAAATGTCTGCGGACACTTAATCACATATTATGAGCTTGTTGGACATCCCATTACAAAACCATGGGCATTAATATGGAGTTGGTCCCCCTTCCTGGATATAAAAGCCTCCACGCTTCTGGGGAACCTTTCCACAAGATCTTGTGGCTGTGGAAATTTATGAACATTTGCCAATTCAAGTACAGACATTCCTCGGTTAACGACTTACCTGCTTTTTGACCACTCGCACTTACGACGGACTGCCGATCGACCGCCGACCTTGCGCATAAGTGGGCCGTGTCGCCGGCGGAAGTGATGTCCTCCGATCTTCACCGCGAGTCCCAGTAAGTATTTTAATTGCCCGATGTACAGTACACTGTTCGGTACTGTACATCTGCAACGCTATACAGTACTGTACTAATGCAGTACAGTACTGTATAGAGTTCCTCACTTAACGACCTGGTCGTAGGAACGGAACTCGGTCGTTAAGTGAGGAATACCTGTAGTGATGTTGGATGAGAAGACCTGCCTCAAAATTGGTGTTTCCATCAGTAGAGTTGAGGTCAGGGCTCGGTCCAGAATACTCAAGTTCCTCCACACCAAAAGGGTCAAACCATGTCTTTATGGAGCTGGCTTAGCACCGCAGTCATGCTAGATCAGAAAAAGGGCCTTCACAGAACTGATACCTCAAGGTTGGAAGTACACAATTATCTAAAATTTCATGTATGATGTAGTATTTCTTGTAACCTTCACTGGAAACACTGGAACTCAATCATTTGGAAAGGTGTCCACATACCTTTGGCCATATACAGGTGAAACTCGAATAATTAGAATATCGTGCAAAAGTAATTGCAGTAAGTGCTGCAAAAGGGGCCCAAACCAAGTACTGAGTACATATGCATGCTTGTACTTTTCAGAGGTCCGATATTGTTCTATGTACAATCCTTGTTTTATTGATTGCATGTAATAATATACTTTTTTGAGGTTGTGGATTTGGGGTTCTTGGGGTTTTCATGAGCTGTAAGCCATAATCATCACAATGATGACAAATCACGGCTTGAACTATCTTGCTTTGCATGTAATGAGTCTCTCTCATATATTAGTTTCACCGCATAAGTTGCATTAGTGAAATAAATGAACTTTGCACAATATTCTAATTATTCTAGTTTCACCTGTAGTGTAAGACAGGGGTAGCCAAACTCCGGCCCTCCAGCTGTGGTGGAACTACAAATCCCATGAGGCATTGCAAGTTTCTCACAGCCACGACTCCCGGAGAGAGATGCATCATGGGATTTGTAGTTTCACCACAGCTGGGAGCCCGGAGTTTGGCCATCCCTGGTGTAAGAGGATCTACTTTCCACTGCCAAACCCTTGGCTTATGCGGCCAAATATGCACATAAGTCAGAGCAAGAAAAGTTTTGTAGTGACCTGTTGCAACCACACAGAAGTTGTCACTGTATATTCTACTGCAAAAGCCATATTCAATAAGTGCTAAATGCTCGGTGCAACATTCTGAAGACCAAATCAACCAACCAGAATTCACTTTGCCAAAGTCTGATCAGTATAAGATGGATTACGATTGGCTGCGATGGAGTACCAAATTTCGATCCTTGAGCTGCTTAATTGGACAAGTGTAAAATTGTAAACATGAGCTGTGGTAAGCAGCTAGGGAACTGCAACCAATGTTGGATCTACTGCCATGGTTACAGGTCCCTATGGCGTTTAACTGACCAATATTTCAATAATATAAATACTAATCCATCTCAATACACAGCATAGAACATCGAGGGTCCGTTTACAACTTCTAGCATTGCAGTAATGCATGCACTGCAACGTATTTTATTGGGAATTTCGGCGTGTTTTATTACCGCTGCCAATTACTTTTGATTGAGATCCCTACACTGGCTTCCTATGCCCAAAGAATAAAATTCAAAATATTAACAATGACTTACAAAGCCATCCACAACTCCGCCCCCGGCTATATCTCCAACCTCGTCTCAAAGTATCACCCTAACCGTCCCCTCCGCTCTTCAAAAGGCCTTCTGCTTTCCAGCTCCCTCGTCAACTCCTCCCATGCTCGCCTCCAGGACTTCACTAGAGTCACTCCCATTCTATAGAACACTCTACCCCAACCCGTCCGTCTATCTCCCACACTGACTGCCTTTAGGCGATCCCTTAAGACTCATCTCTACAGGGAAGCCGATCCCACCTCAACCTAACCGCTCAACCATCAATTTCTCAAAGAATTCATCCCCACACAGCTACCTCCTCATGTATCACTGGCCCCTCCCTTTTTAGATTGTAATCCCTCCTTACCATCTCATCTTGAATTGCAATGTCTTTCTTATATTGTAAAGCGCTGCACAAACTGATGGCGCTATATAAATCCTGTATAATAATAATAATAAGGGAAAAAAGTGTTCCTGCTCCCTGCAGTGAACATCATGCATTGTGTTGCACTGTGCTACAGGTGCAATCTATAAATGTATTTGGGAAGCATTCAACGTGAATAGCACTGCAATGCATCCCACTGCTTGCCACCCAACGTTACCGCAATGTGAAGAAGTGAACGGGCCCACCTAAAGAAACAGACCTTTTTACATTAGTAATAACAAAAATTAGTCAAGACAGAAGATTTTCCAAATAAGTTTATCTGCCCACACTGTTGATTTGCAGGTTCCCGGAACCCTGTACAATATAAATTATTAAACCAGAATGCTGCACAGTGCTGTAGGCAATTGGCTGACAAGGAATGAGTTCAAAAAACAAAAACAAAAAAAACAGGCATGTAAAAGGGCAATTTGTAAACCCGTTTTGAAGCAAATGTGTTGCCCTATGATGCACCCACCACCCCCAGCTACTCAGACTTGAGTCCCAGTCACATTTTTTTTTGTTTTTTAATCCAGGGGGTGCAAAGAAAGGTGTACAAATAACCTAACCTACAAAGCAAGTGTGATTTACAACATCACGTTGCAGTAACTAGACACCCTGGTGTCAAAAGTTTCATTAAAGCACCATATTTTTTCTTTTTTTTCCATAGAAGTGCATGAGTTAAATGAGGGTTCACGCCTCAGTGTCCTTTTTTTTGTTTCAAAAGAAAAAAAAAAAAAAAAAGGCAAGCAGCTAGGGAACTGCAACCAATGTTGGATCTACTGCCATGGTTACAGGTCCCTATGGCGTTTAACTGACCAATATTTCAATAATATAAATACTAATCCATCTCAATACACAGCATAGAACATCGAGGGTCCGTTTACAACTTCTAGCATTGCAGTAATGCATGCACTGCAACGTATTTTATTGGGAATTTCGGCGTGTTTTATTACCGCTGCCAATTACTTTTGATTGAGATCCCTACACTGGCTTCCTATGCCCAAAGAATAAAATTCAAAATATTAACAATGACTTACAAAGCCATCCACAACTCCGCCCCCGGCTATATCTCCAACCTCGTCTCAAAGTATCACCCTAACCGTCCCCTCCGCTCTTCAAAAGGCCTTCTGCTTTCCAGCTCCCTCGTCAACTCCTCCCATGCTCGCCTCCAGGACTTCACTAGAGTCACTCCCATTCTATAGAACACTCTACCCCAACCCGTCCGTCTATCTCCCACACTGACTGCCTTTAGGCGATCCCTTAAGACTCATCTCTACAGGGAAGCCGATCCCACCTCAACCTAACCGCTCAACCATCAATTTCTCAAAGAATTCATCCCCACACAGCTACCTCCTCATGTATCACTGGCCCCTCCCTTTTTAGATTGTAATCCCTCCTTACCATCTCATCTTGAATTGCAATGTCTTTCTTATATTGTAAAGCGCTGCACAAACTGATGGCGCTATATAAATCCTGTATAATAATAATAATAAGGGAAAAAAGTGTTCCTGCTCCCTGCAGTGAACATCATGCATTGTGTTGCACTGTGCTACAGGTGCAATCTATAAATGTATTTGGGAAGCATTCAACGTGAATAGCACTGCAATGCATCCCACTGCTTGCCACCCAACGTTACCGCAATGTGAAGAAGTGAACGGGCCCACCTAAAGAAACAGACCTTTTTACATTAGTAATAACAAAAATTAGTCAAGACAGAAGATTTTCCAAATAAGTTTATCTGCCCACACTGTTGATTTGCAGGTTCCCGGAACCCTGTACAATATAAATTATTAAACCAGAATGCTGCACAGTGCTGTAGGCAATTGGCTGACAAGGAATGAGTTCAAAAAACAAAAACAAAAAAAACAGGCATGTAAAAGGGCAATTTGTAAACCCGTTTTGAAGCAAATGTGTTGCCCTATGATGCACCCACCACCCCCAGCTACTCAGACTTGAGTCCCAGTCACATTTTTTTTTGTTTTTTAATCCAGGGGGTGCAAAGAAAGGTGTACAAATAACCTAACCTACAAAGCAAGTGTGATTTACAACATCACGTTGCAGTAACTAGACACCCTGGTGTCAAAAGTTTCATTAAAGCACCATATTTTTTCTTTTTTTTCCATAGAAGTGCATGAGTTAAATGAGGGTTCACGCCTCAGTGTCCTTTTTTTTGTTTCAAAAGAAAAAAAAAAAAAAAAGGCATGTAATTGGGAACAAACTGTACCACTGTTCCGTTTTGAAGGTGACTTTGCAGTGTGGTCTGATATTCAGTGATTAACGTGAGGGCAATCCGTAGAAGTGTTAATGGCACACGGCAGAGAGGAATGGGAATCGTCGGAAAGGTCAGTTTTAGGGAAACAAGGAAGAGGATAATTTACGGATACACACAAGGGGCATGGTCCACCGCTGCTGCACTCATGTCACTTCGACCATCAAGTTGGACACCGGCTGAGGCTCTAGAACATCATCGGCTGGGCCATTATGTGTCAATTGGTGATGTTCAAAACTGGACTGAGATAAGAACCACTGGTCACACAGTGAACAAGTGAAATTTCCTTCTTGCTCATGGATCTTGCGGTGAGCTGTAAGGTGACTAGCAATACGAAAAGCTTTTCCACAGTCTTTGCAAGGGTATTTGTGAATACGGAGGTGGTTGTTGTAGGCCATCAGGTTAAAGAATTCCTTGAGGCAGTCAGGGCACTTGTAGACACCAGTCCTGTGAGTTTTTTTGTGGTTAAATAGACTGCTGGCATGGCGGTAGGACCGATCACACTGGTTGCACTTGTATTTGCGTTCTTGGCTGGGTGGGGAAACCTGAGCTGGCTCCGCCGTGCGAGGCTCTGATGTGTTGTTTTCACAAACGTTTGTTTCATCAGATTGCACTCTTGGAGAGGAAGACTGGAAAGAACTAGATTTTTTGTGTGTCCTTTGATGGTGCCTAAGCGTCAGTTTGCTACTAAATTCACGATTGCAAATTGGGCAATGGAAGGGCCCTACACCTGCGTGAACTCTGATGTGGCAGACCAGCTCTCGGGAAGACCGAAACGCCTTTCCACACTCCATGCACTCAAAATCTTTCTTGGCTGTGTGAGTGCGGAGATGGTTTTTTATGGCCATAGGGTTGGAAAATTGCTTGTTGCATAACGAACACTTATAAAGCCCTTTTTTGTGAGTGTTCTTGTGGTTGAGAAGGCTCCCGGCATGCCGATAGCTGCGGCCACATAGGTCACAACCATATGGGCGTTCTGCAACCTTCTTTGACAAGGTGGGCTTTCCTAGTTCGTTGATAGGGTTTGGTATTTTAATTTGGCTTTCACTACAAGCGTGAATTCTTAGCTCATCGTTGCTGGAAAACAAAACCCCACAAGCTTTGCAAACGGGTTCTTTTGTGGATGGTGCTTGGTTACCAAAATAACCACGCTTCTTCTTTGAGTTTGCGGAAATGGGGTTACTGGATTTTCTGGACCTCTTACTAAATCCAGCGGACCTTTCAGCTTGACGGTCATTTACTGTACTTGCTTTTTGTTCTCCTGGGGGTGGTTGGGAGCCAGTCTGGGACTCTTCTTGTGCATGAACAAACTGGTGCCTGGTTAGCTGCCTCTTCCACTTAAAGGTCTTTCCGCACTGCGAGCAATGATGCCTTTTTGCTTCATAGTGATTGCGTTCATGGTTCTTCAAGGCCATGAGATTAGAGTAATTTTTGTGACAAACGGGACAACAGTACTGACCCATCTTGTGGCTTTTCTTGTGGTTGAACAAACTTCCTGCATGCCTATATGACCTCCCACATTCCTCACACTGGTAAGGACGGGAATCAGGATCTAGTTTCCGTTTCACAAAAGAATTGGAGCTCTTCTTACCAGAACAATCAGCTTGATCTAAAGCAATGTCTTCACAAAGAGGTGTGGCCTTAAGCCGCTGAGTTTGAGCAAATTTTCTACATCTCGTGCTCAGACGGTTGCGTCTACCGGACTTCCTTACTGCAGCCCTTTGCCAGTGTAATCTTTGGTGAGTGTCCAATTGCTTACGTAGCCGAAAAGCTTTGCCGCAATCCAGGCACTTGTGTCTCTTCAACTCGAAGTGGATGCGGTTGTGATTCTTCATGGCCATGAGGTTGAAGAAGCGCTTCTGACAAATGGAACAGCGAAAAACCCCAGTTTTATGTGTCTGTTTATGGTTTATTAGGCTCCCTGCGTGTCTATAACTCCTGCCACACACTTCACAACGGAAGGGACGATGGTGAAAGCTACCCCCAACCTCATTCTGGTTATGACTTGAACTAGCTAGAGATGGAAGTTCATCTTCTTCCGCTTTTACGGTCTCTTCTGAATGTCTTACTAGCTCCGTCTCATGACTTCTTTTACAATTACCAGCAAGACGCAATGACAAAGCTTTAACCCCAAAGAAAGTTTTGCCAGATAATTTACCAGTTTGTAATGATTTGTCATCTACATCAGAACCACATTTGACAGACGTGCTCTCACTTTTGAGACATGGGCTTGTTGCTGTGTCATTTCTCTTTTCATCTCGTCTTGCACATTGCTTCCTGGAGAGTTTAGCATGTTTTGTTGGAGTATGGAAGTTCAATTGAGTACTGGAATTATCCAAGCAGGAATTATCTATGGATAAAGTGTCTATGCACGATTTAAAATCACTTGGTAAAACATCAGACGCAAACTGATCGGGCAAGGGAGCACTAGGGGAAAAGTTCAAATGCCCTCCTTCTCCAGTAGTTGATGGACAGTCGTGAAGGTCTGAAGCATTAGGTTCATGTTGACTGTTCGCTGCTATCTGCTGCTTACACGCTGGATGGTGCCTCAAGTGGTTAATGTAAGCTGACATGTTGGGGTACTGTTTAGAACATGCTACACATTGGAAATTGCCAACTACATGAGTCTTTTTATGGTTTACTAAACTTCCTCCATATCTATAGCTCTTTCCACACTGATTACAAGCATAAGGTCGGTTCTCTTGGCTTTCCTCGTTCATAGTTTTGTCAGAGTGTTCCTCTTCCTTCACCACTGGAGTTTGTTGGAGATCGGTATCTTGATTATCCGCATCGCTATTACTACTTTCATTTGACAAAGGTTTATCTTCAGCACCCTCAACTTCATTCTGGTTATAACTTGAACTTGCCAGAGATGGAATTTCATATTTTATGGTGTCTTCTGTATGTCGTACTATTTCTAATTCACTGCTTCTTCTACAATTACCAGCAATACGTAGTGATAATGCTTTAACCCCAAAGAAAGTTTTACGAGTTTGCAATGGTTTGTCATCTACATCAGACCCACATGTGACAGATGTGTTCCCACCTTCAAGAGGTGTGCTCGTCACTGGGTCATTTCTCTTTTCACCTCCTCTTGAACAACGCTTCCAGGAGAGTTTAGAATGGTTTGCTGGAGTTTGGAAGTTAACTTGAGTACTGGAATGATCAAAGCAGGAATCATCTATAGATAAAGTGTCTATGCATGGTTTAAAGTCACATGGTAGAACATTGGATATAGGATTGGGTAAGACAGCACAAGGGGAAATATTCAAATGCCCACCTTCTCTAGTTGTGGATGGAAAGCCATGAAGATCTGAAGCATTAGATTCGTGTTGACTGTTCACTGCTACCTGCTTTTTACATTCTGGATGGTGCCTCAAGTGGTTAATGTAAGCGGCCATGTTAGGATACTGTTTAGAACATGCTACACATTGGAAATTGCCAACTAAATGAGTCTTTTTATGGTTTACTAAACTTCCGCCATGTCTATAGCTTTTCCCACACTGATTACACGTATAAGGTCGGTTCTCTTGGCTTTCATCGTTCTTAGCTGATTCACCAGAATTCTCCTCCTCCACCATTGCAGTCTGTTGGGGATCGTTATCTTGAATATCTGCATCACTGTTAATGCTTTCATTTGGCAAAAGCTTTTCTTCAGTATCATGACTCAAGCTATGGGCCTGTAAGCTCTCTAGGTCATCATAAGTTTGGCCACAGTAACCACATATATGGGAAAGCTGGGAACTTCCATCTGGAACCTCAGTGTGGTCAGCCTCCTCTAGTTCACTCTTTATTCTTCTTAACAACTCCCTCTCTGTTGAATCCATAGGGAATGAAAATTCTGTCTCCTTTCCCTCGGCATCAAGTACAGGAAGTGACTCTTCCTTCACTTGCTTTTCGTGTGCAACCTGGTGCTGGTGAAAGTCGACTTCATTGGAGAAAACCAAACCGCAATGGCCGCAGTCGTAACAAATTGCAAAATTTAGCTGGTCTTGCACAATGTCATTTGACTCAGTCCCATTGGAATGGTCTTTTCCAGCATTCCTGAGAGCATGAGGTTTTGTGTGAGACTGAAAATGATCCTTCAGTGCTTGAAGACTTGGATACTCTTTAGGGCAAAATGAACACTGATAAATGCCAATTTGATGGGTAAGTTTATGGCTGTTTAAGTCTTCAATACTGCTGTAAACTTCCCCACATTCTATGCATGTGTAATCAATATGATTACTATAGTCTTCCGAGATGAGCTCTCCGTTTCCATGATTCTCAGCCCCATGGATGTCCGAGTTAATAGATTGTTCCCATTCAGAGTCACTAACATTTTCTAAAAAACGATTTTTGTCATTCTCTGCTCTATTGGCTTCTTGTACCTTCGGATCCCATGGATCTCCCTCTAGAGCCATGTGCACCATTTGGTGGGCAACAAGATCATCTTCACTATGAAAGATCTCTTCGCAACTAACGCAGCCATATAAGTTCTTAGCACCTGGATGGGGGTAACCGAGATCAGGATAGAGAAATCTAGAACTGTCGTGCATTTCCCCAATTTGGCGATTTTTAACTTTGTGGTGGATTCTTATGTGATTTTTTAAGGCAGCCATGTTGTGAACATGCCTGGAACAATAAGGGCACATATAGTCGCCGGTTTGGTGGGTTCTTTTGTGGTTGATTAGGCTCCCTGAATGCCGGTATGACTTGTTGCAAAGGTCACATTCATATATCCGCCTACCTTGATATTCTGAGGCTTCAAGAATCTTAACTTGAGATCCCAGTTTCTCTGTGGTTTTACAAGCATTATGAGGATCAGTCAGAGTTTCCTCTTTGTTAAGGTCTATGGGTGGCTGTATAGAGCAAGGGACCTGTGTTGAGTTTCCACAAATCTGGCTGTGACACTGAAAACTCTCTGTACAGTCAAAGGATTCTCCACAGGAGCAAGAGATTTGTGTCAAAGATCCATTACCAGCTGTATCATTAGCATCTGTTTGGGGGAACATATTCTCATTTGACTTCACAGAGTGGACAGTCTTATTTTGCAAGAATTTGGGCCTACCACGAAAATACTGACGGCCCCTTCTAGATAAGATTCCCCTACGACCTGCATATGACCGACTATGGAAGCGAAGGTGGTTTCTAAGGGCCATCAGATTGGAGTATTGCTTTGGGCAGAGAGAACATTGAAATATTCCCGTCTTATGTGTGAGCTTATGGTTTATTAAGCTGCTTTTGTGCCGGTATGTCCTTCCACAAGGTTCACACTTATAGGGCCTATCTGCTGGTGATTTATCATGCCCCTCTAATTGAGAAGACTCCTCTTTAAAGACTGTCTCTTCTAATGTATGCTGTTCAAAGTCACTGGATGCATCTTGGATTTTACCAGCATTGCTTTGTGGTGTTCCTTCAAGTGGGGTAGTTAATGTCTCCTCATGTGTCCACTGATGCAGTGTTTGTTGTTGAGCAAGTTCCCCCATCTCATGCTTCACAGAGTTTGGCATGCTAGCGCCAGAGGTGTCACTGTTATTTTGGGATACTTGAGGATTTTCAGGCCAGTAAGTGCCCGATTCAAGAGCCTCCTCTATGTTTTGTGTATCGCTGTAGGATTCTTTTATTGCTTCCTCTTGATGGATTACTTGATGTTGCAAAAAATCACTCTCATTAGGTAAACATTCACCACAGATTCTACACTGGAAAGGGTCTTCTGGATTTTGGAAGAGATCAGAGAAGCTAGCTGGATGAAAGTAGTTATCCTCCACCTTCCTCCCTGGTCTAGACTTAAAGTGCGCTCGAAAATGGTTATTTAAGGCAGCAACATTGAACATCTGCTTAGAACACACGGGACAAGCATACACTCCTGTTTGGTGAGTTTTTTTGTGATTTATGAGACTTCCAGCATGTCTGTAAGTCTTTCCACACTCTTGGCACCTAAACGGTCTAGTTTCTGAATCTCCAGGCTTGCCCTCTTCTTCAAGTGTTTCATCACATTGCTGCTGCTCAGACTGCTGACCAGCTTCCTCTGATGCGAAGGTTGAATCAGGATCCTCTGTATTTTCTTCCTCTCGTACCATACTGTCCTTGCTTGAATGCTGTGGCATCTGTTCTGAACAGAGTGAATCGGGATGAAAATCATCTTGGAGCTTCTGAATTGGTGAAGGTAACTTTTCTTTGTCTTCCTCATAATTACTGCTTTCGGAAACCTGAACTACAGTAGGCAGACCCTCATGTTTGTCCATAGTATCATTAGCATGCAATATATCGCTTTGTAGTGTATCTGTAGGTCCAAACAGAGGGCCACCAAGTTTTGCAGTATATCGAGGGGATTTGCATCTCTGTCTGGAGTCTGAATGAAGGCGGCAATGGTTTTTCATGGCCATGAGGTTGGAGAACTCCTTAAAGCAGATCGCACACTGGTACAAACCCACCATATGGCTTTGCCTGTGGTTTGCAAGACTGCCTGCATGTTTATATGCTTTCTCACACTGATTACATTTATAACGATATTCCTCTGTGTTGTCATTGGGTGTCAGTTCTTCCCTAGGTTCTTCTGTAGACCCCTGTTGAATTACAGTGTCATCTTTTGCATGTTCCTCCGCCGGTGAATTTCCATCTTGGTAATACTTTGAAACAACTTGAGTAAAGTCTCCTGGCACCATGGATTCAGCAATATAGTTTTCCAAGTTACTAATTAAGTTGCTACTATCCACTGAGATAGGAGTTTGCACATCAACTTTGTGGTTTCTTCCTAAGCTTTCAGCACTAGAGACTGAGAAAAAACCATGCGAAGACCTTCGGTGGTTGTAAAGCTGCTGTGACATACGAAATGCCTCTCCACACTGCTCGCACTTGAAACGCTTGTCCTCAGAGTGTGTGCGCAAGTGACTTTTCAAGCCCATGGGGTTGGAAAACTCCTTCTGGCAGATGAGACAACTGTAAAGGCCAACCTGATGAGTTTTCTTATGGTTTACCAAGCTGCCAGCATGTCGATAACTCTTGTCACACTGATTGCACTTATACGGTCTCTCTTCTCTATAACTTTCCTCTGTGCTTTTCAGCTCCGTTGAGTTAGAGAACAAATCCACGTCGGCTTGGTCGGCCCCGAAACTTTCTTCCTCCATGCTTAATCTAGAACGGTATGGGCTTTTCAAAACAAGAATTCTCTATCCATCACCACGAAACTAGGACATGGGGTTGAACCGACTTGACTTCCAGCTTGTGCGGCATCTTACAGTCAGCATACATCTGGTGTTTACTTCCACAGCCAGGTCCATTATAGTCGTAGTTTCTTCTCATCAAACCTGTAAACATATTTTAAAGTCACAATTAAAACGGGTCAATAAAATGCAAGTCTTTTGTTTACGTAGAGTGACAATACAAGTACGAAGATTTGTTTTAACCGAATGACAAAAAAACCTAAACACTATGAAAACCTATGTATACAGTCATTTGTGTACATGCAAAAGATTGCCCCCAAAACTAAATTATACAGGCCACATCTGAAATAAATAATTTTGCTGGTGTTTACATAAAATGAAATGAGCAATGCATAGCTATAGGCAGACATTTGGTTACATATGAAGGTAACTAAAAACCTAACCTGCCAATTGTGTTTTCAATTTACAAAAAATACTTTGAAAATCATTTTAATGCAGTTTCCTCTTTTGTATATTCATAGTGAAGCAATCCTATTAAAAAAGCAAGTACTAGGCAGAGTGCCTTCAGACCTGAAAGTGGATATTTTTAAAATTTGAGGGCTCGTGAGGTGTCCAGGAAGATGAAAAACTAAGTCAGGGTCAATGCCTTATGCCAACTTTTTTTTTACTTTGTAGCTACTGCAGGTTTCCTATAATTTCGGGGTAGGTAAACTTCAGCCCAGCTATGGCATACACGATATTCCATCATGCTGCTGCCTCTGGAGGTCATGCTTTTGGGTGTCAAGAGTCCTGCAATGCCTATTGGGATTTCTAGTTACACAACAGCTTGAACTTTGGTTACCACTGCTGTAATTGAATTACCAAATGTGTGCTTTGAGGTGAAAATGACTGTCCCTCTATTAGATGGTTATTTATAAATTCGATAGGTCATCTAAGAGACTCAGAAGAACTCGGAAAAGCGACAGTCCCTATGTAGGAGCCAAGAGAAATTCACGGGGAATGCATTCTAGAACAGCCTTTTTAACCAGGGTTGCTCAGAACTTCAGGGATCTGCAAGAGATCACTACATTGGGCCATGAAAAGGTGAGCTGTTGTGGATTGACCTCCCACCTGACAGTACCCGAATAGTGCCGGAACCAACATTAGCAGGCAGAGCAAGCAGCGTGAGACCGGTGGTCTCCTCATTTTTCATGAGAGTAACCACCAAAACCAGTGATCTTTATAGCAGTCTGTGGAAGCAGTATTCTTCCCGTGGACAACCAACGTTTAGGACATCTTCCTACTGACTAATGCAGGGGGCATTGTCTCTGGTGACTGCCAACTAACATAAGGGAGCAAGTCTCCATTGGCTGTCAACGTAAGGGGGAACATCTCAACTGACAGTCAACATAAAACAGTCAAATCACCACTTAACACCAACATAAAAGGGGCTGAACCCCACTCATCACCAATGTAAGGGCGCACATCTTCACTAACCACCAATATAAAAGGGCATGTTTTTAATGTTATTGAAAAGAGGGCGCATCTCCACTGACAAACAACACAAGGGAGCACACCTCCACTGACTCCCAACATAAAGGGATACGCCTCCACTAACCGACAACCTTAAAAAGCACATCTTCACTAACCCCAAACATAACAGAGCATGACTCCACTGAGTGCCAACAAAAGGCGACAAGTCTCCACTGAGTGCCAACAGAAGGGGATAGGTCTCCACTAGAGCTGCAGCTAACGATTATTTTCAAAATCGATTAGTTAGCCGATTATTAAGTTCGATTAATCGGTTAATCGGATAAACAATAAAATACATTTAAAAAAATGGCTCCAGTAATGGACTACTAGTTTGTATTGAGATTGCAGTCCATCACAGGAGCAAGCTTTGGAGCGGTGGAAGTAAAAAAAAAGTGTGGTGTGCAATATAGTGAAATGGAAAGTTTATAATTATACAGCAATCAATGCAGAATGGCAACGGCTATAGAAAACTACAAATCCCAGCAATAGTACATTTTACAGCGCAATGCAGAATATCACCAGCTATAGGAGCACAACAAATGACAGCAATAGTACATTATAGCTGGCGGTATTCTGCATTGCGCTGTATAATGTACTGTTGCTGGGTTTTGTAGTCATCTATAGCTAGTGATATTCGGCATTGCACCACTGTATAATGTATTATTGCTGGGATTTGTAGTGCTCCTCTATAGCTGGTGGAATTCCGCATGGCGCTGTATAATGTATTATTGCTGGGATTTGTAGTCCTTTATACAGCGCAATGCAGAATATCACCAGCTATAGAGGAGTACAACAAATCACAGCAATACATTATACATACAGTGTATAATGTATTGCTGGGATTTGTATTCCTATGTATAATATACAGCACAATGTACCATCAGCTATAGAGGAATACAAATCCCAGCAATACATTATAGAGCACCATGTGTGGGAAAGTGCAGGCTTACCTGAGCAGTCTTCCAGCAACTTGCTTCTGAGATCGGGCCTGTCTGTCGGCGGCTGTCATCCCCCCACACCTCCTCCTCCTTACTACATCTCCCCGCGTCCCTGTGCCGATCGTGGATGTGGGCGGGTGGTGAGTGTGAGGCGGGAAGGAGGTGTGGCGTGTAGAGCGTTGATGCGGGCGGGTCTGGCAGCGGTGAGCGTGAGTTGGGGAGGAGGTGCGGCGCGCAGCGTGTGTGGGGCCGTGAACAGGGCCAACTGATCGGAAGCCGATTAATCGATTATTGAAAAAGTTGACAACTTTTTCAATAATCGATTATAATCGATTATGTCGATTAGTTGTTGCAGCCCTAGTCTCCACTGAGTGCCAACCTAAAGAAGCACATCTTCATTGACCACCACCATAAGGGATTATGTATCCACTGACGGTCAACAAAAGGGGGGCATCAAGATTTTCTGTGACCGTTTCTTTGCTGGTTATTATTGTTAGTTACATTTTTTTTTCCCCCACGCAGCAAGCACAAGTTTCACATTATAGAAGTAAATTCCATTTTTTTCTTTTAGTGGTATCTCTGAAATGTACTGAACATGCCAATGTACGGATAGCTGCGAATATCATTTTTTCATAATATTCGAGGCTGAATAAAGACACAGGTCCATCAAGTCCAACCTTTATGTGTTAGTGTGTGTGTGTAGTGCGTCCATGTGTGTATATGAGTCGCTGTGTGGTCTTAGGTTTTAAGAATACTTGTACCCCTGTATGTTACGGTCTCTGAGGAAGGCATCTAATTAATTTTTGAATGATTCAATTACTTTCTGCTGCTACCACTGCTTGTGGCAGAGAGTTCCAAAATGTAACCACTCTGAGAAGAAGCCCCTACGCCCTTTGAGGTTAAATCTTTTCTCCACCAGTTTTAGGTGGTGCCCCCTAGTCTTTGTTATGTTTACTGTAAGGCCCCGTTCACACCTGAGCGTTTTATCGCGCCTTCCTACGCTCGGTAAAACGCGCAACAGGTGAAAACCCATGTTTGCCTATGGGCACGGTTCTCACCTGCGCGTTTTACCGCCCGTTCGATTGCGTGATAAAACGCCATACGCCCAAAGAAGTACATGAGCCTCTTTGGGGCGTATTAACGCCTGTATCCCACTGTTATCAGCCGGATACCCCCTCGGAAACTCGCATTTGACGCACGTTTCTTTTACCGCAAATCGCGGTAAAACCGTGCGTTTCCAATACGCTAAGGTGTGAACCCAGCGTAAACAGTTTATTGCGGATGTTGCCATCACCACCAAACATTTTGTACATTAAAATCATGCCCCTCAATCTCCTCACTTCCAGCGTGAACAAGTCTAATTTTAGCAACCTCGTCTCATAGCTTTGTTCCTCCAGCCCCTTATTAAGTTTTGTTGCCCTTCTCTGGACTCTCTCCAGCTCAAGGACATACCTTCTGTGGATTGGTGACCAAAACTGTACTGTATAATCCATATGAGGCCGAAACCAGCGATCTATAAAGTGGCAAAATTGATGGGGTTCTTTGAGACCTGAACATAATTTCAAGGGTTCCACCAGGGTTCAAAGGTTGAGAACAGCTGCTCCAGAAGAGGAAACGGAAAGATCCGCTTTTTTTTGGCACCTAAAATTGGAATGACTCTGGTTCTTGACTTCCAAATTAATTTTCCAGCCCTCCATCAATATATCAGCACGGTGTAAAAACCGCTTACAATGCCTATGTAAAATCATAAACCATTCTTCATCGATATATGTTTCTGTGATCATAGGGAATACAGAATCAGAATGCTAAGTGGCCATGAAAGAGAAGCAGCTGTCGATGAATGTGCCCGCCCCATTGTTTACGTCTCCTATGCCAGTGAAAACATATCACCTAACCGAGACCGGCACGCCTAATGTAAATAATAGCAGAATGCAGCTGATACATTCCTGATTTACAGAAGCTACGCTGTACCAAAGGTAAGCATCTTCAAGACTTGGCTTGCAGCAGGAATTTATAACTCACGGAGGCATCCAATAGGCAGCAAAGGACAAAAGTCACTTTTAAGTAGAAAAGCATATAATAGGCTCAATGGTAATCGTATTTAATGGGTCATCCCACCCAGAACTGGTATTGAGATTTCAATTTTGATAGATGGTGCAACATTAAAGAGGCATGCTTAAAAAGTAGTGAATGTGGCAAAACTAATCACAGTCATTGAAAGACAAGCGCCAGGAAGATTTACCTGCATTGAATGTTTGGTGTAGGTCAGATTTAATGTTTAATATGCCTCAAATGTCCAAAAAAAAAAATTTAAATTTTGATGGAGTGGGTAAGGTTTAAAAAGCCTTTATGGTTTTTGTTTAGTTATCTTTGTCCCATTGCAGAGATTACACTTCACTTCCATTTCAAATTCTTGGGTCTTCCCATCTGCTGCACCCATTATGAAGGGTTCCCACCATCCCAGCGCTGAGTTCCAGGCACTTCCCATCTGCTGTGCCCATTATAAGGGGTTCA